GCAGCAGCCGCAGCCGCAGCAGCAGCCGCAGCAGCAGCAGCAGCAGCAGCAGCAGCAGCAGCAGCAGGAGGAGGAGGAGGAGGAGGAGGAGTAGTAGTAGTAGTAGTAGTAGTAATAGCAGTGGCAGGAAGTTGCAGCAGCAGCAGTAGCAGCAGCAGTTGTGTTTCAACAGCAGCACGAGTACGAGCGGCCCGCTGATCCGAGTTTCAGGGTTTTGGTCGTCGGGTGCTGTGCCTTGAAAGGGCTAAGGGTTGGGGTTAGGCGCGTTCAAGGGGTTTAAGATGGGTTAAGGGTGCTTGATTTAGGTCTCGGAGTGTGCGCGAGGGATGAATGAGCCCTAGCCCACTGAGGATTTAGGCCACAGGACGAGTCTGGTGTGACTTCTTTCTTGTGCTGGCCCAGGCAGAAGAAGGAGGAGTTGAGGAGCCGAGTTTCGGATATAAATCTCTCTGTGTCGAAGCTCTGACTCGGCTTTAAGCTTAAAGATTGGAGTGTTGAAGCTCGGCTTTATGTTTTTGAGTGTTGGTGTTGGTTTTGTTGTTGGGTTTGTTGTTTTTGTTGTCGTTGTTGGTGGTGGTGGTGGTAATCGTCGTAGGAGGATCATTATGCGAACGATGACAACTAGGATAACCCCTTCTTCCTCTAGTTCATCTCAGGAAAAGCATCGTAGCCATGGACATTTGCTTATCCAGCACCCTTGTCGTCAATGCATCGCATTAGATGGACTGGCGAAGTTCCTGCAAAACCCTGATCCCGTTCTGGGTGTTCCATTCCGGTTGAGTGTGCGCAGGAGAACGCTTGTCATCCTCACGCTGCTGAGCTTGGTGCCGAAGGTCTGCCACCCAGCTGTGTCTAAACGACTGCACGGAAGGGGTTCTTTTCGCTCCCTGCAGTGCCTAAGCGAGAAGCCCCTGAGACCACACCTGGACACTAAAGCTTGCACGACGTGGGTATCTTTTTTGCCCTTAGACCCTGGAGCAACATCTGCACAAATAATGCTCGTACATCTGCCTGTGTCATCTGGGGTTTCCCCGAAAATAGGGGACCCTAATATGGTGTCCTAAGTAGTAGGATCCTTATTTTAAAGGCTCCAAAATATGGTACCCCTAATTCTCGGAAAACTTTAGGCCTTGCACCTCGAGGGTTCTCCGAGCCCTGACCCGGAACTCCGAAACGCTTTTAGCCTTGGGGTGCGGATCGTCAGGTGGCCTACAGCAACGACCTCCATGCCTGGGGCATCATGGAGGGCATGCTGAATGCATGGCCCCTGGCGTTGAGTTTTTCCGGCTTGGGAGTGTCGGTTTGGAGGTTTCGCTTCGGGTTTCGGGGATTCGGCTTTGGAGTCTCGGAATGTAGGGTTGAGGTGAATTTTTGAAGGATTCTAGGGCCTCTAGGCCTTTATAACGGGTCCATAAAGGTTCTTGAAAGGGTGGTTCATTTAGGGTTTAGGCTTAGGTTTGGAGATGAAAGGCTCTATGGGTTTAGAGACTTTGGCGGGCGGGTTTCGCCTCTTCAGCGCTTTGGCCCGGGTCGAGTCTTGCCCATTCTGAGCTCCAGGCCCTCTACACTCTCAGCCCTAAACCTCATGGAAGGTTTCGTGTTTCGGTTTAGGATTTGGGGTCAAGAGGACTCGAAGAGGAAGAACAAGCATCCACCTGCTGGAGGAAGCAGACGCACACAGCCTGCTGTGAGTGCTTGCATCCTACTTCCTGCAGCGGAGAACTGCTGCAGTTGCGCCCGGACTCCGCGATGAAGATCCAGACGAGCCTGCTCACTCTAAGCAAGTTCCTGTGATAAGGTGTCGACTCGGTGTCGACTCCCCATGAAGGGAACCGAATCGGAACGTTTCGGTTCCAATGGCAAACGCACCTGGGCTAAACTATTTGGGAGCTTAGGCGGCATAGCGTATAAACCCTAAACTGCAACAACGGACTGTAGATCCCCAATCAACACGGCGCTGTGTAGGGGCCATAACAATAGGACCCTATTCTAAGCCTCATTCACCACGGATGGTTTTTTCCAGGAGTCTACGTGGAAAGTAGCAGAAACAGTCATCCCAGTGATCGACATCTAAGAGACGGTCTGCATGTTCAGGGTACAGAAGCGTGAGCAGTGAGCGTGGTGAACTCCTTACTCCAGCGACAGTATCGAGTTGTAAGTAGTCACAGCAGCGAGGATTTTTCCAAAAAGCGAAGTTCGTGAACACGTTTGAAGTGAAAGCCTTGAAAGAGGCCAGTCGCCCTGAACCCCAAGAGCCCTAAGAGCCCTAAGCCCCAAACCCAACCTGAACCCCAGCCTTGAGCCCAAAAACCTAAGGGCCCTGGGAACGCTAAGAGCCTGACGAGTCCTCAGCCGTTTCCCAGGCCAAGACCCACCCGAACTATGCGCTCTTCAACAGCATCCGCTTCAGCCCGCTGGGCGCCCTGCTCGAGGTCCTCCCCCTGCCGCCTAGTGTTCAGGCTTTCGGGTCGTAGGCTAATTTGGGTTTCGGGCTTGGGGTTCAAGGCTTAGGATTCAGAGTTTTTGGTTTGCAGTTGCGTCCTGAAACCGAAAGCCCTGACGCACGAGCCCCACGCCCCACAGGAAAACACGTACAGCCGAAGCCTTAAGCCCTCAACCGAAAGCTGAATCCCCAGTGGCTTGATCTCTACTCAGCTTAAGCCCTGAAGGCAAAGCTGTCAAGGCATTTTGGGGTTCAGTTCTTTTCTTCTGACCCCCCTTGAAATTTCTACGTGAAAGGTCGGGGTACCTCTAGCATTTTTTTCACAGGGTTTTCTGGCTTTGGGCGATGTTTTAGGGATCCAAGTACATGTATAGCCAAGCCCGCACGATACACTAAACTTAGCCCCAGTAGATCCATGGGAACAGGTGGTTCCCTGATACAGGTATAGTCTAAAAGTCAGCCTTATCATCCAGGATCACCATCGTTCCCTCACATCGGGGTTCAATTCTTTTTGTTTACCGCTGTTGAACAGTTTCTAACTCTAGCATAGCATATACTTTGGAAGTAAGATTTCAGTCAGCATCCCGTGACGGTTATGCAGAGCGACAGACGCGCTTGTTATTTTTTGAGGTTTTCCGGCTCAGATGAAGGGAACGAAGTTAGGCTCGTTGTATCGTCAGGGTGATATTGAGTTCTGACCCGGGTCCAGGGTCTAGGGCCTAGGGTTCCCTAAACTCAATAAACCTCGAATCCCGCCAGGCAAAAAACGCGAAATCCTGAAGCCAGCTGAGAGTCTCAAGCCGCGAACCCTGAAGCATTACAGCACCCACCCGAGCCCTGATATCCCAAACCTTCAAGGCCGTAAACCAGAGATTCTCAAGAAATGTCAAGAATTTTGAGCCCTAAGTCTGAAACCTTTGCAACAGTATCCCGTTACAGGTCAATCTACTAGTGCATTATACCTCATAGCCTCCTTCCAATCATCAAGATCCCTATGCTACCCCCCATGGCCGCAATATTTTTTCCGAGACGCTGGGTTCAACTCAAGCGTACAGGGTGGCACACGGGAGGTTTCAGAGTCTTTTTTAATCAGTGTTCCCAGTGAGCCCAACTTGGCCCGTCAGTGGGGAATGCTTCCTGGCAAGGAAGTCACGCGCCATTGAAGACACAGGCTCTGATTCCTCTAGGGATTCCTGGAGGTTGTATGTAGGATGTTTAGAGCTCTAAGGACTCCTACTAACAGGCAAGGAGCATTGCAAGAGGCTTCGGGCTCTAGCCGCTAGCGCCCTAGCATTTCTTGCGCGGGATGGGCCAGAAGCGCTGCGGCACCGCGCAGGCCCGAGAAGGAACCCGCCCCGAAAGCCTTCCTACTGGTTGGAGCTGGGGGTTTATGGAAAAGCTTCAGAGTGCAAGCTTCAGGGTTTACCCCCCAGGTGATTTTAATTAATGCAGTAATGCAGTAGACCCCAAAACCTGTTCCACTTTTTATGGCCCTCCAGGGCATGTTCGAGAATAGGGACCTGCGGGGATCAGGGTGAGGACCCGAAACTCTGAACCGAATCCTGGCCCCAGCACTCATATCCCAAGGCACTTAAGGTGGTGACTTGATCGCACAGAAAAGGCCATTGCACTTAAAAGAGAAAGGTGGCGAGGTAATATATTTTGGGCTCTTTGTCCGCCAGTCTGGCCAGAGACCCACGTTGTTGCTGACGTTGCTGTCTTTGCCGCCGCTGCTGCTGCACTGCAGCTGTGATGATGATGATGATGATGATGATGATGATGACGGTGATGATATTGGGGGCCACGATGATCATAAGGACCGCGACAACAAGGATGACACTAGGTTCAGGTTTCAGGATGCCAATCGTCAGTCACGGTTTTCTGAGTCATTCTTGTGTAAACTTACGTTTCCGTTGCCATCATGCCCGTCTACACTGTCTCAGTCTTGATGATGCCCTGTGTGGGCAAGAAGCCTGACCCCCCCTGAATTCTGAAGGATCGGTTCCAGAGCCGGAGAATGCCTGTTGTCTCCTGAAAATATGTCGGGGACAAAATGAGCTACGAAGAAGCCTGAATACCTCGTAAGATTAGCCTTTGCAGGCTCTTACGGTTTTTATGGCAAAGTACCCCCAAGAGCCTAGTCTAATTGTTCCGGTTTCATTCACGAGCTAACCATAATTCTGTTGCTTCTAAAACTCAGGAATAACCCGTACACCATGACAGGAAGCCGTGAACAATGTAAGGTCTGCTCCTACTTGACGGTCCTAAAACCGTCACAATACCACAGCCAAAAGCTTTGCACCCTTTTTTTTAACGTAAGACATACCCCTGATTTAAGGCTGGATGCATTTTTTTTGCGGGGGGGAGGGGGGGGGGGAGAACACCCCAATCCTTTCCTGTCATTCCGAGACCCCTGAGCTCCAACCCAAAACTCTAAAACCCACTACAGAGGCTAATTAGTAGCAAGTCTCCGCATGCTCCCTAGATCAGTTGTTCTAATGACAAAGGCCACTGTGGTGTTTGGTAGTTATCATTGCCCATGCCTAACCCCTGGGCCGTGAACCCGAACTGAATCACCTGTAATGGTACTTGTTAGGCTGACTCGTTTCAGGGTTTGTTGAATGTGTCCACAACGCATAATGCCCCAAGCCCTGATCTGACTCAGTTCTACATTAGGCTTCAAGCTCCTGCTCTAATTCACGAAGGCAGCAGCCAAAGGTTGCAGCCCTGGCTCGAGACTTGGGGTCCAATTTCTTAAGCCCAAGACCTACATGCATCTTTCGGCCTGAGTTCGGAGTTTTCAGGTTCAGGATGCAGCGTTCATGTTGAAGGATTTGCAGTCTAGGGTGAGGCTTCTAGGGTTAAGCGTTTAGAGTCTTGGTTTGTGTGAGTGTGTGTGCGTGTGGGTGTATGCTTGCGTTTGCACACCCGCTGGTGCGCGTTTTGGTGCTTGGCCCTTCGTTTTCTTGGTTCTGCTGTTCGAGGTTTGGATTGACATGCTTAGTGTTCAGGTTTTGGGTTGAGGGTGTTCCGGGGTGTTTGTTTTTTTAGTTTTTAGGGTTTCGGGCTTGGGGTATTGGGGTGTAGTATTTCAAGGTAATGAGGCGTAGGGTCTGCTTAGGCATAAGTAAGAGCTGAAATGCACTGACAAAGACAGGTGTCTGGATTCCTTGCGATAGTAGTCCCGATATAGTTATCGAAAAACACACTCCAAGACCCTTGTCCCCATGTATGACCGAAGCCAATGAGGGGCGGTTCGAAGCTTGCAAACACTGATCTCTCAAGCCTCCATGGGGATGGAGGGCCTAGATTCGGAACTTCAGGCTGTAGACGAAAGTCTTAGGTATCTTTGGGTTTGGGTCATTCGCATTACAGATTTTTCAGGGTTTTGATCTGGGTTTGGGTTCATAGTGTTTGAGGGCTTTAGAGCTTGTAGAGTTTAGCCGCAGCCGCTCGCGGTTTGTTTTCGGTTTGAGGACGTCTTCGCCGCACCCCTGCAGGCCCAAGCCGTGAGAGAGCAAGATCGGGCAGGGCAGGCAATAACAAGCTCAAAAACACGGACTCTGACCCCTCAGCCTGAACCCAAGCCCCAACCCCTAAGCCCTAAGCCCTAAGCCCTACAACGGAAGCCCGAAACCGAAAGCCTTACTCCCTCCGACATCGGGGCCCAAGCTCTCAGCCCTTAGCGCCAGACTGTCGTGTCCATGTGACAGCAGCGCGAACCAAGGATCAATCATACTGATCAGGGTAGCACTAGGCATAGCCAGCAATGTGCGTGCGGAAAATACCATGAGTCGTTTGTCAAGCTAACCCGAGTTGCAAAGAGCAACAAGCATGCCCGTGGTAACGACAGCACGAACTATGAATACATAAAGATCAACCATCCTCATCGGAGCACGAAAAATTATCGTGCTCAAACGAAATAAGCCCTAAACACCATCACTAACCCCAAAGCCCTTAACCATAGAGCATATAATCGGAAACTAGATCCTTCGAACTCCGACGGGGCAGTGTTCATTCCGGCAGTGCCGCAGCCCAGATGCATCGATGGACTATACGGAGGGTTTTGATATCCTAAACCCCTAAACCCCTAAACCCCTAAACCCCTAGTTGGCAGCACAGGGTGGACAGGCAGTGGTACCCAGCCTAGGCTTTCGGCCCTGAAGCCCCAAGGCCCGCAAGCCCTACGTGTCCTAAAGAAGAAGCTCTTACAGCCCTGAACCGTGAATCCGAAACCCCCTAAACCCTAAGCCCTGCAGAAAGCTCTAGGCACCAAGAAAAGCTGCACGGCACAACATCCTGAAACATGTTGATCTGAAGCCGCTAGAAGCGTTCGAAACCTTCCAAGAGCCCTGCGTATCAATCTGACGACAGGTTTTAGGCTCCAGGCGTGATTCAGTGAAAGGCTTTAGGGTTCAGGGTCTGGGCAGACTCAGGCGGATTTTGCAGGGCTTTGCGATGGCTTGGGTGGCATCGCAAGGGGTGTTTCCTCAATCTGTCAATGTCCAACGTCTCACCCGCCAGCAGGAATGGAGCCATAGGCCCAAAATTGTAAACACCAAACTTTGAAGGGATAAACTGAAAGTCTGATCCCTGTGTCTGGAAACATTCGCAGCCCGAAAAACGAAAAGTCCTCGAACCCCAAACCAAGATTCCCCCCCCGGTGGCCGACAGCTTTAGGGTTTATTTAGCCTTAAACGGCTCAGTCCTTAAGCTGCTGTCCCTTCAGCTCTAAACCCCCTGATTTGCAGTGCAAACTTGACACCCCGAAGACCTAGGGTTTCGGGGCTCGGGGTGTCACGGCGCCAGACTGCCAGAGTTCTTCAACATCCATGGCCACAAGAAGCGAGCCGGAACGACCCTTGCAAACGCGATGCCTAGGTACCGTTTTTTGCGGTGACCGGGCAAATGTCTTTCAACAAGAAGGCACGTGCGAGGGGCATGAGGCTTGTCGTTGAGGTTAAAGAGATTTTGAGGTTGACGGCTTTGGAGTGTGGTTACATATTGAAATAATGAGGACATCCGCAACACCCCAGAGATGCCAGGCAGGTTGAGTTTTCTTGTCCCATCCTCGTCATCATCATCATCATCATCATCATCATCATCATGGTCATCATCTGCTTCTTGCTCCCACTGCTCCCCTCCTCCCTACAGCAATCCATTATTCAGCTTTGGGGCAGGGTGCAAGGGGCGCTGTTGGACACTTTCCAAGCAGTTGTGAAGCTCTAAACCCGAGCCCGAAACTAATCTAAATCCCAAACCGTCGTGTTGATGAACAGTGTAGGTGTCTGCGCCCGCCCTTCAGGGAGCGCAAACTTTTCAAAGTTTTCTGTATTCGGTTGTATAAGGATTTGATACAATCGCCGCATGCCAGAGAAGGCTCTGGGTTTCTGAACCCCAAACCCACATCCTCTAAAGCCCTAAACTCTGAACTCTTTCCAGGAAGTCCCTCAACCAGGTCTGCAGACTGAATTCCTGAGCATGCCAACCAAGCCCAAGCATGCCCTAGAGTTGAACCCTTCGGCCCGCAACCCTAAGCCCAAAACACGGCGCAGACCCTTACTGTAGCCCGAGATCGAAACCTTCAGGGTGGATTTTGGATTTTCAGTTGTGTCCTCCTGGCAAAAAGAAGCCCGTGCTCCCTACTGTACTGCCGGAGAGGGCTTCTACGAGTCTTCTGTAGTTGTAGTTTTATGGTGCTGTTTCGGGGCTTTTGCATAGTCATGTGTAGTTGGGGGCATAAGTATCTGTAAGTATAGCCACCGTGCTTTCCAACTCCCCTGGTTCTCAAGCAGAGACGCCCATGCCGGAATGAAGGACGGTCATCTTTGTTGGAAGGAAGGATATTGCCTTGCGGAGGGTTCTTCATAAGGATACGATTGCTGGCCGCTTCAGTCTCATATTGATTGCGGTGGAGCAGGGATCCTGGTGAGGAACGTTTCGGCCAATTGCAGTCTATTGTTCTGCGAAAACATAAGCCATATGGACCCAATGCACAAAGCACAAAACCCTCAAGCAAGGGATGTTGGAGTCTGTTAACACTCTTAGAATCCTTATGCATCCCGGACATATCTCTGTTTGTAACTACTCGTGAACTTTCAAGCGGGTCCCCCCTGAATCCTGGGTTTGGGGTTTAAGAGGGCCAGGGGTTCAGGGATCAGAAATCAGGGAGTGAGCCTTTGGATAAGCCACTACTTCGGGTTTAGGGTTTAGGGTTTAGGGTTTAGGGTTTAGGGTTTAGGGTTTAGGGTTTAGGGTTACTAAGCCGTATATAAAGAATTCTGCGAAGGTACATCCTGGCGCCAATGAAGACGTCACCAATGCACCCCCGAGCGTGCGCGTGGAGTCTCCTTTCCGAGGCCTCGCGTATGCGAGCAATCTGTAAGTTTCGGCATCTTTTCTATTTTCAATTCTATGTACATTCGAAGTCATACTTAGACTGGCAGTGGTATTTTCATTATTATCATGGTTACTGCAACTTTCGATGATGTTTGAAATAGAGGTTTCAGGTTTTTGGGGCTTTTTAGGGACTGCGGGGTGTGGAGTTTTACTGAAGGGCATCGGGCTTAGGATTTAGGATTCTGGGGATCTCTGCGCAGACGCAAAGAGCGGACAATTCAAGATCCATATCCCTGAGATCTTCTGATTTCCGGGCCTTCCGCGCCCGGAACCCTGCTGTCCTGAATCAGCCAGCCTTTCTGGTCCGGGCGTTTTCGGAGATAAGGGGCGGAGAAATGCTTCAAAAAGGAGCGATTGGTATTGGTCTTCCTTTGCCAACCGCTGTAAATTTTCATAGTTCATGCCCGAACACTGTATCACGATTCCGGTATCAAAGAAAGCAGAGGCCGACAAGAGTCGCGCCCGACACCCTCAACCATCGGTTTGGGGTTCGCGGTTTTAGGGGCATGAGGGCCAACATCAACCCTCAACGGCCCAACGACACTAGAACCCGACTGTAAAACCTCAGTAGAGTGTAGGGTTTCCGGTGGGAAGGTTTTGGACTAAGCTTGTTGGGGGCTTAGGGCGCAGGTTGCGCCGTCTTACGGGCAGAAACTCTCCCCGAACCCCTGGGCCCCTTGTCCTTAAACACCCCAGCACCCTACGAGCCAAAACGACCCCAGCATACCTGAACCCCCAAAGCCGAAGCCTTAAAGTTCGAAACTGGTAGAAACCCTGAAGCATTCCTAAACCCTAAAGTTCTTCAACTCTGAGACTTAAAATCCCTTAAGAAAGCCCTAAAAACCGAAAACCCCACCAAAAGAGAGAAGCAACCAAAGAATCCGGTGGCTTCTTTTTTTTTTCTCGGAGGACCGGTTCCCGTGCCAGAGGCCCTCGGCCTCTCTCGCGCCTCGGCATGCCCGTTTTTTTTTTTAAATGGGTTTATGGAGGTTTGGGTTCTTAAGGGCTTTGGGGTTAGAGTTTTTAGGGTGTTTTTGGAGGTTTAGGTTCTTAGAGGTTTTGGGGTTTTGAGGTTTTAGAGGTTTTTAGGTTTGTTTTGGGGGCTTTGGGGTTCAGGGTTTTCGGATGAGGGTTCGGATGTTCGGGGGTCTTTGCGGTCTTCGAGGGTAGGGCTTGGGGATTCAGGTTTCTCCTGAGTTTAGGGTTTTTGCGGCTTTTTAAGGAGTCAGTCAAGATGTAGTAGTAGCAGTAGTAGTAGTAGTAGTAGTAGTAGTAGTAGTAGGTGCATTTCTAGAGGTCACCCTTCACGGCTGCAAATGGTGAGGCTGCAACCATGCAGATACTATGCTATATTGTATTTCATTGCTATTCGTATTTACCATTACTATAGTTATTTCTTATATTATTCGCTTTCCTATTCGCAATATCATTCTTTTTTAAGAAGAAGACTCCAATTCTCAGCAAGCACCTCTCTATCCGCAGCTCACTCAAGGCGAACCCAAATCCTAGACTCCAGGCCTTGAATGCCTGCGCGATATCCGAACAACCTGGGTTTCAAGAGTAGAAAAAACGGAATCGCAGGTTCTAGGATTCTAGGCTCTAGGAATTCACACGGCCCAGAAATCCCAGCTTCTCATCCGCTTCAGATTCCACCCTCCAGGCGCCCAGTCGACCTGGTGTTTAGGGTTCGGCGGTTCAAGGTTCGGAGGTTTACGGGGCTAGGGGCTCAGGGTTTGGGGCTCCTCGGCCACCTCAATTTCTCACCGGTTGAAAGCCCTAAACCCTAAACCCTAAACCCTAACTGGAAACCTGCACCCCGAAACCCTAAAATCCAAAACTCACCCGACCCCGCAAAACGCGCCTGGTGACCCAGAAACCGCCAGTAATGCCATCGATGAGGCCTTCCCTCCACACCAGGGAGATCAGACGCCCGTCCGTCATCTTTTGCTTGGGAGGGTGTGGCTTTGTACCACCGTTACAAGTATTGAAAATTTGCTTCTCTGTATAGCTGTTTGTTAAGGGTCTTCACGCGATGCTGTAAGGGTGTTTGTTTGTAAGGGGTTTTGCCACGGTTTGATAAAGGGGTTCCTGAGGTTGTGTATGTTTTAGCTAGCACGCTTAAACCAGGGACGTGCGAGTTCTTTTTTGCGAAGTTTGTCGAAGTGTTTTCCAAAGGGTTTTTGCGAGTATTGGTTGTTTAAACAATATGAGGGCTTAGGTTTCGGATCAAGGACTTTAGGATTTCTAAATGGTAAACCCAGAGATGAGATTGTTGATGGCCAATATCCTGCAACCACTGGAAGTACCTTAAGCTATGGACATTGCGGTATTGGAAGCAAGCGGCAGTCTGTTCCTCAGCAGCAATGACACCTACTTGGGGCAACCCCCTTATACAACCTAATAAAACCCTGATGCAGTGCTTCGCAACTTCCCATATTAAAAGGCAGGAAAGGGCTTGGTAATGCGCTTATTGAGCGCACTCTGCGGGTTTTCAGACACACTCACCTCATCCTTCCAAGGTTGCATCGAAGATTTCGGGACAGGGTATATTGCAGTACTGTAGGGGTCTAGGGTTCAGGCTTTCGGAGTTGGGAGTTCGAGGATGGGGTTGCGGTTGAAGGTGAAGGGTTGAAGGCTTGAAAGGTTTAAGTGGCAAGATTTTGGGGCTTTCTCAATACAACATATTCGCTGGCGCCGCCCCCAAGGGGGTCGGCGGATATACTCGGACGAAAATAAAAACTTCAAGCCGAAACGAGTCGCTTCTGCCTCTGAGGCAACTCCACAGCAGCTACACCGTTCCTCGACCCCGACGCGGCGACGAATAGCAACTCGCACCGGTTTGTTGCCCCCCATGTATCCTGCACAAACAAAAGACCCCCATTCCCCACCCTGAGCCCAGAATCCGAAACTCTCATAAAAGACTCATGCATCCTAAACGCCCGAGCCCTTAAAACTTAAAATTCAAGCTACTGGAACCCTAAATCGGAAAGAGGGTAAACTCGGGACCGCAAGCCCCAAACCTAGGAGCCTCAAGCCCTACACCCTGCCCTACACCCTGAAAGCTTAAAGTGCAAAGCCTAGGGTGTTATGGTTTCGAGTTCATCTTCGGCGAGCTTGAAGAGGGTTTGGGGCTTGGTGGTTTTACTGCTTTGGGCTTCTAGGCATGAGGGGATAATGTAATGAAAATGGTGAAGAAAGGGTCCTCAATAATTAGAATAGGGTTTGGGATATATTATACTATGATTATAATAAGGAGCCCCCAAACTTCAATTCTAATTTCTAAGGCCCTTACATTAGAAAGCCAGGGTCCTTATGAGACCTCCTGACTTGGATCCTGCGCTCCCGGGTTTGTAGAAGGAAGGAATGCTCGGTCAGGTGGCTGCTATTGGTAAAGAAGCTAAGAAGCTGGTAAAGAAGCTGTATTATACGGGTCTGAATAATTCGTCACACTATTGCTTCCGGTTCCTGAATAAAGTTTAACCCTGAACCCTAAACCCCAAATCCAAAGCCTTAAACCTACGTGCTAATTCATGCCCGGAAGTCTTCCGACTCATGGAAGCCGTGGTGCGCGGGCTTCAGGTGGCAGTTGCGTTTCGGGCTTAGCTTTAGGGTTTTTGGGGCTTATGAAGACACACATTGTGACTGGCCGTTCATGTTCAGGGTTTTCCCGAAAGGTTGATTTACAGTGTCTAGGCCAGCCTTGGTAGGTCTTCCCGAGTATGGGCATGAGACCATTATTCAGCGGTTTGCTGTAGTTGCGAAACCCTCAACTCATAGGGACCCTTAGGGGGATTTAAGGGGGAGGGGGTTAAGGGGGACTAGACTTCCTTCAATAGGCCTTCTTAGGTCCTACCCTTCTCCCCCCTAGCCCTCCCTGAAGGGTCCCTTATGATCAACCCGAAAGTCTAACTCCCACCCCGTTCCTCGAAACCCGAGCCCTCAATCCAGAGCCTTATGGTTTGATGAGGCGTCACATGGTTCCAACAACCCCTTGATGAGGCCGCTCGGCACAGCAATGCCTTGCTTAGGGTCCTTGCGTCGTTCAAGCTTTGGCGGCTTTCTAGCTCCCTCTTGAAGTAGTCTTTACAGAAGTTCTCTTCAACCTTATTACTCGTACCAGTTCGTTCGATTCTTTTGTTGCGCTGGTAGGTCATTGTTGGCTTGAGGGTTCGTCGTTTTGGAACGAATTCAGTCTCTTTGGTCGTTTTGGTGTTCGGGTTGAGGGTCCATAGCGTAGCTGTCAATGGGTCAACACACCGTAAAGGAGCCAAATGGTTTAAGGAGTCCCTAGACAACATTCTGAACACTAACATCACCTTGAGGCAGGGATGCTTGGGATAAGGATCCTATTGTTTAGGATCTATGTTACGGTTCCGAATGTTCTGCAACTCCTCGGTTTCTGAAATTACAATCAGTAATCATTACTATTTCTTGCTGCTGTTGCTTTGCGATGATCGGTAACGACTACCAAACACCCTTGAATACTGAATTCCTAAACCCAATAAAAACCTAAAGCCTCAAAAAGCGCAAAAAGCCTGAAATCCCTAAACCTAAAAACATTCCCTGTTTCTCGTGGGGTTTCATATCAGTAACCTAGAAACCCAAGCCCCAAACACCATCGTAAACGCCAGACCCTGAGAGTGGAAGGCTCCGGAATGGTTGGGCTTGATTTGGAGGTGTTTAGAGTGTTTAAGGTGGAGGGCTCAAGGATATGGGCTCTCGTGCTTAGAAGTTTGGGGTTGTGCGGGTTTCAGGGATCATCGACGTGCAGTGTAATGCCACCGGATAAATTATTACTAGTAGTATTCGTCGTTGTTGTTGTGCGCTAGTAGGCTAGATAAGTAATGCTGGTGAGCATCGTTTTTTTAACTCATGACTCTTGACAGTTGTCAAGACATGGTGGTTTTCTATATACATATATATATATATTTTTTTTTTCGGGCTCAGGTCGCATCAGTCACCCTCTCCGTCAGCGTCTTTGCCAAAATCCAACAGTCTGGCACAGAGGCTTCCCTGGGGCAGCTCCTGGTCACGTCAGCTTGCCGCTCAATATGAAACCCAGAAGCCTGAGCTGTATGTTACCGAAGCAATAGAGAATCCCCAGCAGTTCCTTTCATGATCTCTCCCATGTACCACCAAAGCTTTTGCGCATGAATCGGGACCGGATAGTGCGCTGTTCTCTCCAACAGGCTCTTGCGACTGTGGCTAGAGCTGCTATTAGGGTTTAGAGCCGGCGTTGGGTTGAACTGTGGCAGGTTGGCCTCGTCGAGGGTTCTAATGAAAAGGGGCACCTAGGTGGGGTTCTTAGCTTGTCGGCATCCCGATGATCATGAAACCCAACAGCCGTGCAATCCCAGAGCCTGGAATCTTCTGGGTGATTTGCTTCATCAAAGCCCGACCCTGGCCCTAGCAGGTCCTGACTAGCACCAGGACCTAGCGCCTTCTACATGTGGCTCACAAACCTACGCTTGAGTGGCAGGCAATATGTCGAGCAGCTGATGCAGATCGTCAGCCAAACTCCGCTGCTTGGCCATCTGCAGCGCCGAGGGTTCACTACATAATCATTTTTTTAAGTTTCAGTTGTCAGTGCATTTGGAATTAGTATGGCTGCTCTTCATACTCCCCCTCCTCCGACGAGGCGACAGCGGCTGCTACTACTGCTACAACAGCAACAACAACAACTACTACTACTACTACCACCACCAGTGAGACTAACAGTAGTAAAGACTACGAGGATGACGATCGAACTCCGAGCCCGGTCTGTAGAGCAGGGCGGTGGCCAGACCTTGTCAAGGCCTGGCAATCCCCAAACCACCGCAGGAGTCTGGAAAACGGCGGATTCCTCACGTGACTAATGCGAAGTGCCCTCCAGCAATGCAGGGTCCCGAATTAGGGATTTTGCATTCAATCTAGATCCTCCCAACGGTCAAGGCTTCGACAGGTTTAGGGTTGAAGACGGCAGGGTGAATCCAAAACCTAAACACTCTATGCTTAAGCCTGCGCCCCTGAAGCTAATACCCCAAATTTTAAACCCTCAGGCCCTAAGCACTAAACCTCAAAGCCAGGGGTGACAGTCCGGACTCAAAGAACGCTTGTGCCTTCTTTTTCCGGCCCCCCCAATGCAGGGTGTTTTTTGCCTGAAGACCACGGCACCGAGGAGTACTCAGGCGTACGATGAGCGCGACGAGAAGGACTCGAGCACGTCGGCTTTAAGCAATAAGGGCTCCTTTAAGGCCTCCACTAAGGGTTCCTTTAAAGGGACCTTAACAGCGGGCATTTCTGTAGTGTAGTAGGCTTTGCCTTAGGATCTTGCCCCAGCGAGCCTAGAGCCTAAGCCCCCTCAATCGACGCACATGCCGAGAGGTACATAGGGCTTCCGAGTATGATTTGCGGAATATGTACTCCAACTTAACAAGATGATGCTCACGATGATGATGATGACGATGAAACTTCTCGGTTTTGGTATCATGCTTGTAGCGGTACATATACACTTGTCATCGTCCTGGTGTAGTTGGAGGATTCTGGGACTTAGTAAGCGAAGGTAGAAGTGCTTGAACTGTGTCTGTGGTCGACTTGAAGCTTCCAACAAGCTTCTGAAAGCTCTTGCAAAAGCCTCGTGAAGCTCCTAGACTCCTAGAGTCTAAGCTCGAAAGTCTATGGCCGCTACTGCTACTGCTGCTGACTGCTACTACCGCCACCTCCATCACTGCCACAACCACCAAGACTCGCGGTAAAGCTCATGGCGGTAGCAAGCGCAGCAGTAATGCATCAGCTTAAGGACTGGCCAGTTCTCTCAACCAGGATCGTAAGACGAAGGTGAGAAACTCTTTGTAGGACAAGAAGGTTCCATAACTTCAGGGAATTATTCCTCAAGAGAATAGCACTCCTAAAGCATAGTCTCTGGTCTTCTTGGAGCTCAAAGCTAGAACCTAACACCGGAAACCCTAGACCCCGAAGAATCGGAAGTCGGACGCTAAGTGGTTTTAGAAGCCAGTGAAGGGAGGAGAAGTCCCAACTGAGCAATGATAGGCTCTGATTCGAAAGCACAGGGACGAACACTGTTCGTGCTTCCGTGCTGGTGCGGCTCGAGGTGGAGGTTGAAGTCATGCGCACGACCGTGTTGAGCCTGCGAAGCTATACCTCTTGCCATGAGCTGAGGGTTTCGCACTAGAAACCACGTCGAGCAGATCTTCAAAGTTTGGGGCTTGATCCACGATGATTGGGAACGACGGTGGTGATTCTACTATGACCCGCCTTGCCCACTCGAGCCCGAAACCCTGAATCCCAAACCGCTGTGAAGGCGTACAAGACCCTAGTGAAGCCCCTTGGGGAACCCTTGTACATCTGTTGTGAAACCGTGAAACCAACTCAAACCCCTCCAACAACAACCCTAAACCCCTGTAGATATCTGCTGTGCCCTAAACCCTAAGTTAAAGCCTAAACCCTAAACCCTACAACCCTAAACCCTAAACCCTAAACCCTAAACCCTCAACCCTCAACCCTACAACCCTAAACCCTAAACCCTAAATCCTAAAGTTCCCTAAGCCCTACAACCAACCGAATATCTCTGCCATGGCGTTCTCGCGGCCATGGCAGCGCTGCGCGCGGCCAACGGCTCCCTGGCGGCGCTGCTGCGAAAAGCGCAGTGGCCACAGGCCATTAGAGTAGGGTTTGGGGTCCTGTATAGTATAACTATACTAAGGAACCCCCAAAATAGTATAGGTAATTATTAAGGCCATCGCAGGGGCTTGGGGTTTATGCCCCGATGATTGGAGGAAACCAAAGCCAGTAGATTTGGGGCTTTTCTACAAATGTTATTTGTATATTACTATTATTACTATCATTACTATCATTACTATTATTACTGTTATTACTATTACTACCATTATTATTATTACTACTATTATTAGTATTATTGTTGTGGCTCTGTCCAGACACCTCGACTCAGAACTCTAAATCCTGGACTCCCTTCAGTCTTAAAGGTCCTAAATTCGAACCTCCACTTTAAGTGTTGATTTTGAGTGATGCGGGAGTCGTCTGGGTTTTCGTTATAAGGGTTTTAGAAAAGGATTTGTTAAACGGTTTGAAGCCCTCAATCACAAAACGCTCAGCTTAAGCCCCAGGTCTTAACACTTCCAAAATTGCCCTTAACCTTGAAGCCTAAAGCCCTAAAGCTGGAACCCTCAACGGTTGAGGCCATCGACATGCTACGCCAGATGCCGGCAAACGAGGCATCCTTTGGAGTGGCATTCAGGTAGGGTTTAGGGTTTAGGGTGTAGGGTTGAGTTCAAGGTTTAGGGTTTAGGCGGGTTTACGGTGTGGAGTGTAGAGGCGTGAAGAAGAATTTCAATCTGCATGTCAGAAAGTCCAGATCGATTGGCGGAACCTTGAGGAACTGTCCCGAATGATGCAGCTGCAGGATGGGCGCTCAGCACCTGCGCCACTCCAATTTCCATGACCCACCAAAGTCTAAACGATTTTTCAGGACCCGACAGCTAAGCTAGGAACTCCTGACATCGGGAATTCGGTCGGGACACTTTGCACGTGCGTGCTCTCTTTTGCTCGGGCCTCCACCACTGCGGGTCGCCTGCTTTCACTCGTTTCTCGGGCTGCTGCTAGGGTTTAGGGGTTTAGGGTTTGGGTTTAGGGTTTAGGGTTTAGGCCTCCGTGTCCGGGATCACGAGCCCTAAACGAAACGACAGGTGGAGCCTTCGGTGGTCTCCTTCAACACCACCGTCGCTGCTTGTGCACGAGGTGCAGCGTGGAGGCAGGAGGTGAACATATTTCACATAGGGGCCTTAATAATTAGAATAGGGTCTTGGGGGCTCCTTATTGTGATTATAATATAATATACCCCCAAATCCTGTTCTAATTCTTAAGGCCCCTATATTAGGTGATGATCGGCCACTGCCAAACCCAAGCCGAAGACCCTGAACCGCAGAAGCAACAGTACTGCGGTGGTGGCAGCAGTAGTGGTGGTAGTAGTAGTGGTGGTAGTAGCAGTAGCAGTAGGAGCAATAGTAGCAGTAGCAGTATTAGTGGTAGTAGTGGTTTTAGTGGTAGTAGTTGTGGTAGTAGTAGTAGTCGTCGTGCTGGTCGTGGTTCAGTTGGTATAAGTCTAGTTGGAGTCGTAGCAGCCGCAGTATTTAGCCACGAGGCTGCAGTCTTCCCTCCGGGCTTAATTTTGTTTGCAAAAGTGTTCATCTCGACGTTGAGGTTTCGGGCTTCGGAGTTTAGTGTGCAAGAGGGTGTTATTTCGGACCCGGGCCTAGGCTTCGAAGTTCAGTTTTCAGGCATTCCCAACTAGTATGACAAGGACCTGCTTCTGTGTCAGCTCCATACTCTAAGCCCGACCTGACGTGCAGTCTCTCGATCGAGCTCCTCTCCGCGATGCGAAGGGCGAAGGCCCGGGAATGGGCTTGGTGGCATAACAAGGAGAGACTGGGCGAGACATCAGGACTCTGTACTTTCTTCTCGATGTGTCCGTGCTGCAACTTGGCAGTTCGACGAACTGCTGGTAGCTCATGAAACGATTCGATTTCCCAACATGGTAGTTGAGACACACACACCACTAAGCCAGCAGACTGTTCACAGCAGGCTCCAATACGAAAAGACTGAAAAGACTAGTAAACGACAGCCAAACCCCAAACTCCAAACAACCCCAAGCCCCAAACCCCAACAAAAGAGGATCCAGCTAATAAAAGTCTTTTGGTTCTTGATAAACTCACTTCCACGACTGCTGCTGCTGCTGCCGCTGTTGCTGCTACTACTACTACTACTACTACTACTACTACTACTACTTCCACGACGACGGCACGCCTACGACGGCAGCGACGACGACCAACCACCGCTACCTACTACGGCTTCTTCATGCATTTGGCTACGGTCGACATGCCCCGATTCGAAATCCAACCAGCGGCATCTTCACACCATCATCAACATCATCATCTTCTTCAGCATCTTCATCTTCCCCTTCGTCCTCCTCATAATCATTGTCTTCGTCATCACAAGCCGCAACATGAGCATCCTCCTCATTGTCTTTATCTTTTCCGTTCGTCATCACTGTTGCCATCACTACCCCAAGCCAGCAATCTCGGAATATTCAGAGGAGAGGCGATCCGAGGTTCAGAGTTTTTGGGTTTTCAGGCTCGGGCGCCTACTTCAATGCAAACCGTGAGTGCTACAAACCTTCCTAGACTTTCAAGCGTGTGTGGGCAGGTCCACCCCAACATCAAGACCTTCGGGGCTTGTGTCAGCCGGGGCCTTGGGTCTGGGGCCTTCCGCAAGGAAAAAACACGAAGTCAGGAAGCGCAAGACAAGCTTGCCTCGGTGGGTGCACTCATGTGAAGTGACAAAAAGGCTAGTTGTTAAAAGCCACCCTTTCTTATACCTTAAATCCTAAACTCGTAAAGCCCTAAGCTCCAAGCCCTTGAAGCCCTTGACCCTTAGTGTCTGTAAAGCCCTAAAGGCTAAGTTCTAAACGATTAAAGCCCTAAACCCCTAGCGCAAAGCCCATAAAGCTCTTCAAGCCCTTCAAGTCCTTCAGGCAGTTCAGGCCCTTCAAAGCCTCTAAATCCTTCGAGCCCTTAAAGAAGCCAGAACCAGACACCGAGAGGTGCGGCAGAGCGTGCGAGCCACTGGGTTCTGGCTCTTGAGTTGCTGAGGCCTGGGCTTAAGTTGGGGGTTGAATCTGGGGTTAATACAGGGCTTTACAGGGTTCTATCAAGGCTTGAGAGGGTTTCCAGCCAAGGTTACAGTTTAGGAGTTAAAGGCGATGGTTTAGGGTTGTGGCATGGTGGTTTCTGGACCCCTTCGAACCTCAACATCCATGAAGCCAAACCCTAAGCTCGAAGCATGAAACCGGGAAATCAAAGCCCCAAGCCTTCAGCCGAAGCCCTTCAAAACGCCTAAGGCCCTGCCAACACCCTTGAGATCCCTCTAAAGCCCCTTTCGAAACTCACAAAGCATCCTAAGCCCGAAACCCAAAGCCCTAAGCCCTAAACCCTAAACCCTTTTTTTTTCCTAGTGTAAGGCAATGCATCTTTGCCCATCAACCAAGGCAGTTTCGAGCCTGTGGCGCAAAACGGGGCTGTGAAAAACACGATTGCCACTGCATCCTATCCTGCGCTACCGGGTTCAACCTACAGTAAATCAGCGTGTTATCCATCCATGGTAGCTTATCGGAGTTATGAACATGCTTGATGGTCTGTATGTTGGGAGTCTGCCAATATGGATTTCGAATGTCTGCCACAGGTGGCACCGTAGCCGTATCTTGGTGTCTTAGCCGTATATATGCCTCTGCCATTGCCGATTCGGCCCAGTGTAGGCGAGGCCTACCACGTCGGTTTGACCCCCCTACAGACCTGTAAGCTCTGGACTGCATGAACGTGGACGTGAACTCCTAGGAATCTGGATGACGAAGCACATGTCCCAACAGTTTGAGTCTTCGGAAAGAACAGTATTGTGCAGGAGTGGGGATCTGAACTAATTGCTTGGCCAACTGCGATATATGTGCATGCGAGCATGGTGTATCGGTCGGCTGTATGACCTTGTGAAAATACGAAGATTTGAGACCAAATATACGCCTCATGTTTTGAAAATGAATGGAGTTCAACCTGCGTTCTTGAGCTGGCGGCAAATAAATAGATTCCATGGCATACCCAAGAATAGACAATATGATGCTCTTGTAAACAATAAGCCTCCACTTTGTGGGGAGCCCCTTGTGGGACAGAAATGGCTTCAACAGCTTTGAGGTAGATACTGCTCTGGACACCCTTTTCGACACTGTGCTACTGCCGGAGCCTAAAGCATCTATGAACACCCCCAAATACTTGACTTCTCGTGCGATGGGGACGAAATGAGCCAGCGGCTCAGCCCCGCAGCAGCAATGACACTGACACCGCAACGAATTGCTGGGAGCAAAGGCAATTCGGTTGTGCGAATGTATGGGAAGGTGTTTACACTTATCGAAGTTCAGTGTCAATCCTACTTGGTACGCATGAGACTGTAACAAGTGAAGAAGCCGGTTCAGTTGGAAGAAGGATCTGGAAATTAATACTGTGTCGTCCGCGAACTCCAGATCCCATAATCGAGAGGGTAGTGCTAAAACCCCGGCTAGCAAGCCATAGTGTTGTTCATACGATTTCTCGACGTCGTGGAATAGACAAGTGAGCACTATGTCAAACAAGTACGGCGAAAGAGGGCAGCCTTGACGAACGCCTCTACTCTGTTCATCGACACTCGAAGTAACACCCGAATCCTTCACGCGAAACCGCGGTGCAGAATAGATAGCCATGATAGCATTGACGAAGGGACCGGGAACGCCCAGACGGAGAAGGGACTGCTCAATAGAGGAGAACGAAACAGAATCGAATGCCTTAGCCCAATCCACAAACAAAATATGAAGTGGTGAATCTTGTCGTTCATGGGTTTCGATGATCCTGCGCAGTATGTGTATAGGTTGAGAGGTAGAACGTCCACGACGAAAACCGAATTGAGTTTCACGGATTCGAGGATCTATATAATGGGCCAGTCTTTGCTGCAAAAGCGAAGCGTAGATTTTGTAAAAAACATCCGTGAGCGAAATTGGTCTGTAATTATCGACCGACAACTGGTCACCTTTCGAATCTTTCAACATCATAACCACTTCCGAGAGAAGCCAAGCTTCTGGGACAGTTCCGGTTGCTAGACATTTGTTGTAGTGTGCGAGGAGAAACATGCGAACAACGAAAGGAGCGCGTTCAATGAGCTCTGCGGGTATACCATCTGGACCTGGAGCCCTGCCAGTGTTGAGCCTTTTTAAACTAGCGGAGAGTTCTTCTTCTGTAAACGGTCTGTGTACCGCGGGCATTTCGGGATGAAGTGGCGACGGCGACCCCATATTGGATGGTTTGCGGTTCCACACCTGTTTTGACAAGTACTGGCGAAAAATGTCAGCACGACGACTTTTTGACCGCAACTTTCCATCCTGATCTCGGAGTGCCGGGGATTTCGGTTTGTATTCACGTTTCAGCTGCCGAACCGTGGTCCACTGAGTTGGATTGCTTTCGTAGTCTTTCGCGAGTTTTGTGTGAACGAAAACCTTCTTATCACGTCTAGCCGAAGCCTTTATTTGTTTCCGAGCTGCCTTAACCTGTTCAGGAGCAAGTCGTGTTGAATCCCGAAGATCTGCAACTAGATTAAGAGTTTCTCTCGAGATCCATGGCTTATGTGGGCTCAGAGACAAAAGCGGCACTGATTTACTAGCCCTTGCAATAACATCCCGAAGAAAAATATTTTGCTCATTGACAGACATGGCTTCCCACCTTGACATGTCAAGATTGAACACTGGGGGTTGCAACGAACCCGTAGGAGTCCGGGCAAACCTACCCGTTTTACCACATGAATAAACTCCCGTCCTGGCAACTCTATCTGCGTATTCATTTCCTGCGACTCCTGCATGCCCCGGAACCTTGTTTACGGACACGTTATACCTCAGACGCATCGCGACCCAATATTTCTGCAGGTTTGAAACTAATCTAAGGTGTGTGGCTGGAAGAGAATCCCCACGTAATAGGTCGGCTGCATATTGGGAATCCGTATACACGTGGATGGTCTGACCAGCCGGGAGCATCGCGTAGTAAAGGAGATAATCGAACAACTCTATTAATGCTTGCAATTCTGCTGTGTTGTTAGATGCAACTGCTGCTCCTGCGTACTCTGCGGAATCCGGATTTGCCCGAACCCTTCCCTGGGAAGAGACCCATCCAGCAGTCGGGATTGGATGATGAACCCGCTGTTCCATAATAGGAGAAATCACAAATCCCCACCCAGCCGGGTTTCTGTCCGAGATGATTTGATTATTTGGGCAAGAACCATCCGTGTAAGCCAAAACGTGTCCATCGGGAGCCTCAGGCGGGGTAATGGAGTGTCCACAGAGTTCTAGCAACGAAGTCTCCAGATTTTTGTAGTACTCAGAGGTGCGCGAGAAATCCGGGGGCGGCGCAGGCTTCGGCAACGGTTTACGTGCCGGCAAACTAAGCTCCAGTGTGCAAAGGAGGGGTAAATGTCTACTGTTTGCCGCCTGCTGGAAAAAACTACGTATGGATGCTATTTCGAAGGCCGGCTCGAGGCTGGTAATACTATAGTCCAATGTAGTCCATTCACTGACCTGAGGCCTTTCTAGGAGATGGTCTGCGCATGTGGTTTCCTTGTACGTGACTCTTTGAGCTAGGGGAATAGGCATATAAGTTTGCGGAAGTTTGAGGTCGAAGCCTTGCAGGGTTTCTAGCGGTTGTAACACATTGTCTCTATCCGGCGTGTCAATAGACAACCTCTTTCCCCACACATGTGGACCGACATGAACCTGCGACTGATCCAAACCGTTATCCAATCGAGAGTTGAAGTCACCCAAGATGATGAGTTGCTGCGGGGATTCCGGCGTTCCGAGGTGGCCCTGAAAATGCTCCCAAAACTCTGTTTTTCTTCGTTTATCCTCAGCAGCATCTTGAACCATACTCGGGGCATAAGCACACATGATATGCAACGGCTTCGGAGATGTACTCACTAGAATGCGGCAAAGCCTCGGGCCAAGGGGAAGGAAGGAATGAACATACGGGCGGAGGCACGGAGCAATAATGAATCCAACTCCATGCTTTGGCGCCTGCGGCGATGAGCTATGCAAAACAAGATACCCTGACTTAGAGAACTCTTGACTGCATTCGCTGTGTGTTTCCTGCATAGCTAAGATGTGAACAGATTGCTTTTGCATGAAGGCAAACACCTGATCATATTTTCCAATCTCTCGCAACCCCTCGACATTCCACGAGGCTAGCTTTAACGCAGAGGAGCGCAATTTGCAAGGGGCGACCGCGGTAGATAGCACTGCACGAGAGATCGAAGCATTATTTGTAGCGCATCCACTGCTCTTGAAAAGCTTTTTAGATCTATCATAAACTGCCTGTTTTGGCTGCGGCGGGGGCGGCTGTAGCAGACCGTGATCAGCCTCATCACGGCCCAAGCCTTTGGCATATGCTCTGTATGATTGTCTAGCATCCCTGCGTCTGTCATTTCGCTTCTGAATCCTCCTATTGGTAGCCTCCTGACTGCGAAAGCCCCGATGTGAGTGTCCCCCGAAAGCATCGCGATTTTCGCTGCCGCACGACCCAATGCGCATACTCGACATAACACTATGAAGCAAATTATCCTGTTGATGTCGGCGGCATCCCGGCTCACCTCTCTTGGCGGTAATCGCGTTCCGTAGGCTTTTGTAAAGTTTTGGGGAAGAACACCGATCCGAACAGAATATGAAATACTGACCGCGTCTATACGCATAAACTTCGAAACTAGAACCACGATCATTGAAATCGAAGACCAACATGCCGTTATAAAGAGTAACGCTTGTTGCCCAAAGGTGTGATTTGTGATGTGGCTTCTGCCACGGGCGCATCGTACACCAGTTTCCGGTAACTGCGTGTTGAATTTTATTGCGTATTTTTGGCGGACACATGTCAAATAGGTAAGGGGGTTGTGACATCACCTGGAGCTGACTGCACCTTCGAAAGATATCTCCTTGCAACTGAAACATGGGGCGTAGTGTACAATCCAAATCACCACGACGCCAACTTTGATTCCAACAATCACCCTTCGGTGCACCCTCCAAAACGCTCACTACGCTCGGCAAAGCACCCGGTCTTTCTGGTTTTGAAACGACTTGCCATGTAGTCAAACTGTGCGGGGAGGCGTACCTCGGTAGCCGTTCACTTGATTTCACTGGCCCATCATTAACCGTATCTGGATGGTTCCACCTCTTCATAGCCGTATCTGGTGTTAACCGTATCTGGCAATTCCAGAGCAACATACAAACAAGCCCAAGGAGACAACGTACTGTGCGAGATAGTCAACGCCTGCGACGATATCCATCCGAATAGTGGTAATAGTTGGATGCCCTACTGGAACTGCGATCTCGAACATCATGATCTCGCCGAAAGTCTCTGACATCCCGACCGCGCTGGAAATGGTCTGAGGGTTTTGTTTCACGGCTGAAACGACGATCATCTCGAACATCCCGTTGTCGGCGACCGTGCTCTCCATATTGTCGGTTACCATGTTGCTGGTATGAGGTGTCCATGTCCGCATCTTCTGATGTCTCCCGGTGTTGGGAGGATCGGGGTTCTGCATGAGCCCTTTCCGAAATCTTGCCTTTGCCTTTGCCTTTGCCTTTACCTTTGCCCTTGCCTTTATCCTTCCTGCGTGCTCCCTTACCATACTCAAACTGCTCGATACCACGTTCGAAGCGAGCTGTGTTGGTAATCTGCCCCAAACCACCATAGCCTTTGTGAATAAACCCGGGGTCTGAACCCAGCTTTTCGGCTAATGCTGCATCCAGCCCGTGGCACTCGATGACGTACGGGAACATATGGAAGGCTTGCTCGGGGCTAACGTTGGAAAAGTCAAACGCAGTACTGTGGTGAAGTTTTGCCAATGTGGTGGAGTGTGTGCTAGCATTGGTGATCGCTTGCAATAGAATAAGGGTTGCCATCATGCGGTCGTTGAAATACTTGCCAAAATCTGTGTTAAGTAGCTGCAGCAACCGAGGCTGAACCAACAATAAGCACTTGAATTCTCCTTGGAAAGGAAGGTAAACCACTTGTGCCAACAATTCCTCCTCGCCACCTTCCGGTGACCAGATCTGTAAACCGTTGAGGTCTGTTTGAAATGATGTGGACTCATAGAGGGCGGGGGTGAGGTTCGACAACAAGTCCAGCAAGGCAAAATACGGTTGACGCTCCAAACGAGTAGAAAACGGTACCTCGCGCTCAATCCGAAGCTTTCGATCGTTTCCTCGATCTTGGTTATCTCTCCGTACCTTGCCTTCTGCCTGAACGACTGCAAGAATTGTCGGGCACCCTGCTGTTGTAGAAAAACCACCCTGAGGATTGCATCACTGGCTGTAAGAATATGCGTAGAACATGATTGTACCGCGTGGTGGAAGTCCAAATCCGCTGCATCACACAAGTAGCGCATGTTATACTGTATGGAGGAATAGTTTGAAAAAGGCGGAACATTGTGCAGCAAGACGGTGCGATTACAAATTTCCCCCTCAAGGTTTCCTAGCTGCATCTGATGCAGGTTCAATGCTCGCAGTACGCTCGGTGCCTTCTTATGTGATAGAGCAACAATGGTGTCAGCAAGCATGTTGAAGCTGGGCTGGACATGCTTCTCATGGTAATCCTTCAATGCTGCATCGAGTGTGGCTCCGGTGACTTCCTGCTGTTTGAGGGCGTCATCCAACGCTGGAGGGTTATTGGGAGCTGGGGGCATGTTGTTGTCCACCTCTTGGAATTCTCCTGTAGGCGTCAGCCTCGCGATCTTACTACGGTGACGGAATTTCTGCAATGCGGCTTTGACCTCCGGGCGTTGCTCTAGTTCTCGTCTATAGTTAGGATCCATGTCTCCCCACTCCAAAGTGGAATAATCCACCTCATCTTCTTCTTTGATAGGGCCTGCAGGAGCTGTACCCGTAAGACCACTGATTTCAGAAAGACTGGACATAGCTGAACGCTTTTTTAAATCATACATGGCATCAATGATCATTGCACTGGTTGGTTCTCTGTGTTCCGTACCATCCGGGTTTTTCTGTACCAGGACCAACTTGTTGTCAGCATGATATTCGACTGATAGCGAAGGAGTAAGACTTTGCACGCGGAAATCCTGTGGCAGCTGGCTTGCAGCTGCTGCGATTTGGGGTTCCATTGCTTTTCTGTTGCACCAACTTTCCTTGCCTACGGTGCTCGAGCCTACCCTAAACCCTAAAACCCTAAAACCAAAGCCCTAAACCCTAAACCCGAAACCCGGCCTCTCACTTTGGAGGCAGCTGACTGCAGCCTCTTCGTCCCCAGACGGGCCGGTGGCCACCAGCGCCGCCGCCTGCATGGCTTTAGGGTTTAGGATTTAGGATGGTTTAAGGTTTAGGAACGAAGTCTCGGATGTCATATTGCTACTGCTACTTCCTCCTCCTCCTCCTCCTCCTCCTCACACTCCTACTTCTATTCTTATTTTTGCTTCCTGCTCCTGCGGCTTCTACTCTACTCCTACTCTTACTCCCACCCGCACTCCCACTCGGACTGCTCCTACTCGTGCTCCCACTGCTACCCCGACTCCCAGTCCCACTCCTCATCTTACTGTTAGCCTCTTGTTCTCTGGGTTTGTGCAGGGTAAGCTTCAGTGGTCATGTAGGGTGGAGGGTTCGGGATTCCGGGCTTTCTGCCGGTTTGAGGGATGAGGATCTGGGGTTTAGGCTCTCGGGTTTCGAGCATCAGTTGCAGGGCGTGGTCGTAAGCCTCCGTCCGAAACTAGGCTTTGCAGCGGTTTACTTAAAGGCTCATGAGAATTCATAGGCATGGCTACAAATAAGGCAACAGGGATCTATCCATTTATAACCCAACTCGAAACCCGAAACCCTACGCCACTTGTATGTCGAAAGATGCCGAACCACTAGGCCTCAGGCCCGGGCCCAAAGAAGCTCACATGTCCCTCGTCGAGGGCTCGGGGCTTGGGGTTCAGAGTTCAGGGTTTCGGGTTCGGGGTTTAGGGTTTAGGGGTTTGAGGGATGAGGGATGCGGGGTTTCGGGTTTACTAAGCGATGTCTTAAAGTTTCACTCGCTGCCATCCCTAAGCCGTAGGGCCGGCTAACTCTGCAGCTTCTGAATCCTCAATACGAAAGCAACAGAGCCTTACTGAGTTGCAGAAGTTGACACTTGCGTCTGAGTCAGTCGAGTATCTCGAAGGGTCGTGGTCTTTGGAGGTTGTCAACTCCACGCCAGAAACTTATGAGAGCTAGGGTTAAGGCCTCAAACCTTTACCCTTGGACCCGAGCCCTACATGCAGAGGAGTTTATGGCATAGACGTTTGTCGTGCGCTGCAGGGGTTTCTGTTTCATATCAGTCTTCGTAACCCCATCACAAGTATGACGATTACTATAACAGTGCTCGTTATCATTACCAGTTTTGCCAGTACTAGTCCCACCACTGTCATTCCTGCGGTTATCATCTTCTTTATTCCCGCTGTGCTTGCATCAAGGTCCAGCTTCCCATGCCAGCACTTAACCACAATGTGGAGGTTTAAATGCGGAATGGTGTTCCCTTATAGTCCCGAACTTATACTGTAACATGCCCCCAACACCGCTTCCACTAGTCAAGACCCTTCTATTACCTAAGGTCAGCGCATGTGGTAAGGCCACCAGGTGGGAAAGAGAGGGTTGGGGAAGTGTTTGGGAATCACTCTAAGGCCCCTGGTCCCCAAACCCCAAAACCAGAGAAAACTTAAGCTAAGCCCCCAGAAACCCATCTAAACCCTAAACGTTTCAAGACGACAATTATGAGAAATAGAGTGTTTCAAACTCGGCTCCTACCCAGCGCAGGCCGGCTCTCCCAGCCCAAATCCAGCCCAGCCGAGTTTCAAGAGACTTCCGCAAGCCCCTCTTCCTCCCCAGGGTTTAGGGTTTCGGGTTTTGTTTAGGGACTTGCAAGGCGTTAGAGGGTCACATGCCCTTTAAACCAACCCAAGCATCCCGGGGTCCGAAATCCGCTCATTTTAGCGTCAACATATAGACGGCTCCTCGAAACGAGCCTTTGTTTAGAACAGCCCGCGCCCAATCGACGTCCCGAACTCGCAGCTGCGCATGCCCAGAGACTCCCAAATCAGGTTATTAAGCAATACACCGTAACTACAAAGGGATCCTTATCAGGATTATTTGTCGGTGCAGTTATCAGGCCATATGCTTCAAACTTAAAAATAGTGGGACCCCGAGCATGTTTGACGGTGCCTTCCTCAACTATCAGGCTTTGGACCTTTGGAATCTGTGTGTAAACGCCTGAAGCTGTGACACCTCATGGACTCCAGTTTGTGATGAAACACAATGATGGCAAGAATGCAAACGATCATGATAATGATGACAACAGCAGTCATGATGATAGACAAAGGATCGTTCTCATCGTATGGAGGTTTCGATGCCCGCGAGTCTTCACGACAAGCCGTAAATGTAGTAGGAGTTCCATTCTACAGGCCGCTAGAAGGGATCCATTTCAAGCACAACAGAAGGGAGTTTCCGAAAATTGAGGGTACCTTATTTTGGGGTCCTTATAATAGGGATCCTACTATTTAGGGTACTATACTAGGTCCCCTATTTTCGGAAACCCCCAGAAGGAAGCTCCGTGCCGGCAGAGGTGGCAGCAGGCGCTGTTTATCTTCGCTGAAACGCAGAGTGCCCGGGGTGCCAGGGGTGCCAGGGGGGTTGGTTGCTTTCACTTGGGTGGTTGTCAAAATTATGGTCCCTTTTTGGGTCCTTATTATAATTCGGCACCTATTATTTAGGGTACCCCAAAAGGGACCATAATTTTGACAACTACCCACTTGGCTTCTTGGTTTCAGAAGGTTTGTGGTGTGGGGTGAGGCTCAGGTGTGGCGTTTACGGTGATTGGAGTTCGAGGCTCTCCTGTCTATCAGGCTGCCGTCTGCGTCTGCGGTGGGTGCACCCTTGCCAGTTTTTCGAACGAGGCCCGCAACAGGTATGTAAGCCGAACGGTGGCGATGATGATTGTGGTGGTGGAGGTTGTGTGACTGCTGATAGAAGTAATGATGATGGTGAAGAAGATTATGAAGACAACCTGGGACTTAAACTGGCTATTACAAGCAAAAAGAGTGGGTTGCAGTAGGATTTACTTTCGGAGCAGCCCCAAACCGAACTTTTAGTCCTGATCCCAAGACATCGGAACCTTAAGTTAAACTCGAATCCTGAAGGAGCCTCGTGAAATGGAATCCCAGAAGTACGCTTTTGACTGTGTCTTTCTTACGTAAGCTCATGCGAACCCTACGTGAACTTGCAGGCCGCTCGCCGAACCTCTTCGTCTACACCGCCACTGCCGCTGCCACTGCCCGGGCCTCGAGGCCGGGGATGTGCGAAAAACTTTTTAGATCTTCACGGTTTTATAGGGGGCTTTTAGATTGAGGTTCGTAGGTTTTATGGGCCTTGTAGGTTGTGTCAAGGTTTCAGCAAAATTTATCAGGGTGTTACAACAAGGTTCTATGGGGTTTTAATCGTGTTCTTTATGAGGGTTCGTAAGGGCGTGAGGGGGGCTTGATTCGGGACTTTGTAAGATACAAAAGGCAGCAGTAACTTTCGCTTGCTGCGAAAACCTATCCTTTCGTTGTTTTCACCCTTAGGTCTTTGTGAGATTCTGATGGTAAACATTGTACCCATGATGTGCTACCAAACCCCTAAATGCTGCAGTCCCCAATTTGCTTATAGGAACCCTGATCTGACTATTCACGTTGCTATTTTCGGCTCCACATCTCAAACCCCACGCCCTTCCCCCCCCCCCACCCCCTCATCAAATGAGCCTAAATTTCTAGTGCAACCGTAGATAGTGCCTTCGAAAACCTGCGAAGCCTGAGAGTCTGTGCTGTCAAACAGGTGGCAGTCTGCCCTTCTGCTGTATGCAGTCGCCCGGTGAAGACACTACACCTTTTAGGGTTTTGAGGTGTTGGATTTTGGATTTTGAGTTTGGAATTTGGGAGTCTAAGTCAAGCCTCATACCTAGACTGTGTACCCAGCTGCTACTACTGCTGCTGCTGCTACTTCTGCTGCTGCTACTTCTGCTGATTCTGCTGCTGCTGCTGCTACTGCTGCTCTTGCTGCTATCGCTCACGGCAAGATGAGGAAGGCTGCCGAAGACAGCTGCGACCCGATGCGGCCTTTGCCGGCGCTGCGCCCCTTTGCTTGATTCATACAGGGCCGGCTGAGTAGTTCGTATGACTAAACCTCGGGCTCTGCTGTACAGGTATAGTTGCAGTATAAACATAATAACACTGATGTTGATATTGGTGGTAGTAACAATAATATTAGGGGTGCTGTGGATGGACAAAATCTTGCACCACTTTGCAGAGCGTCTTGTGTTGGTTCCCCCTCTTTAACATTGGCAGTGAAATGCGTGAGCGAAATCTTGAACCGCTCAGTAGAACAAGGCTTGCGGGCCTTGATGCCTCAATCGTTGAAGCATGCATGTACGGGTGGCGCAAGACTCTGTCCATCCACCGTCGTCATCGTCGTCGTCGTCGTCGTCGTAGTGGTAATAGTAGTCGTCGTAGTAGCAGTCGTCATCGTCGTAGTAGTAGCAGTAGTCGTAGTCGTAGTCGTAGTCGTAGTCGTAGTCGTAGTAGTAGTAGTAGTAGTAGTATTAGTAGTAGTAGTGGTAGTGGTAGTGGTAGTGGTAG